CGAAGAGTCCCTTTCATGCCTCCCAGAAAGAATTCTCGGACGGAGCCCACAGCAGACAAAGCATGAAAGCCTCATCGTGGATGCTATGGAGCAGGCGGACGGTCTAGAACAGATGATTGTGGTGTGTGCAGGCTTGGACTCGGCCATCCGGAACTCAACAGAGGATTTGCAAACTCGGTCGCAGCTCTACAGAGGCATCACTCGAGCGCAGCTTCTCGCAGTGGTGGTGACCTAGGTGGCACTTTGGGAGAGTTTTTCATCTGCCTACCAATTCTATCCTAAAGGGTTGGCTATTCAGAACCAGTTTGGGGGGGAAATCTAAGTGACACTACCAATATATAGGTAAACGAGCACATCCCGAGCGGATGGCTGGAGTTCCTCGGTGGGGTGAAGTACCAGGATGATGAGCTGTCGGATCGTGAGGCCGACTCCCACCGGGTCGCGGAAGCCGCGAAGACGATGCACGAAGCCGCCCTGGTGGCAGTGAATCTCAGCCGACAAGAAAATGCACATCAGAAGGACAGCCGTCCCGACGCAGCCCGCGTCGCAGCCCAGGATGCCTTTGAATCGTTTCCGGAACTCAGCAGCCAGCCCCCCGTGGAAGCCTCCAGGCCCAAGCCCAAAGCCGCAGCGGTGAAGACGTCGAGCGTCTGGGACACCGACAGCAACAGCATTCCAGCGCCCACCGAGCTCCTCTTCGACCCTCTGCCCGAGGCGGGCGGCGCGCCGTGTAATCGTGCATCTGTTGGAGCGGAGACCCTTTTTCCGTTCTTCCCGCTTCGAACATGTTCACAGGTAATTACTGTATGAAGCATAAGCCAGGCTTGTGCAAGACGGCATGCGCACATCAGCAGGAGTGCGCAAGGCGGACCAGACAGTGTACATGAAAACAGCACGTCGATACAACTCTCTACTGATCTTTTTCCTTTTAAGATTTCCCCCTGCACGACGGAGAGGCAGCATCGGCCGACAAATCAAAACTGAGGCCAAGAATTGAAAAATGAGGGAGCCCACATAGATCAAGTTACTTGCAAGTTTGGATTTCGTCCCAAGTAGCGGGTTCAAGGCCCCGCGGATACCTTCTGAGCAACTTGGATCCTCCTCCAGACATTGCGTCCCGAGCATGTGCAAGCACCCTGGTGAGAGAATTCGCAAATGGACATGGCAGTTTATTGTTGCTTGGAGCAGATACTCTAGCAAACGCGACCCGCTGCGTGAGCCCCGTGTGAACCTGAAGCTTCCACGAAGCTTCCCTCAACCCTAAAACAACCGTAAGCCCCTTGAAACAGAGCACGAAAAGCAGCCGGAGGTCGCCCGGAAGGAAGTGTATGCCACCTTCGACAAGGAGTCGCTTGGTGAAAGCCCCTCTCTCACAGGTGGATCGTAGACTCGTGTCAGCGCAGCATCGGCTGGAACCGTGTGACAGCGTCAATAGCATGGGAGAGAATGCTAGCGTTAAGTGCCCGCTACTGCCCTATATAGCGACCATTTTGCAGATCTCTTGAAGTGTGGCAGTGTGCTTTCATTAAAAACTCCAGGCAGACGACACAGCTGCTTTGTTCCCATGCTTACTTCAGAGACTCAATGACTGCAGCAGCTCGGTACACTCGCAACAAGAGCAGCCAGAGGATCCCAGCTCGACTTCGGGTCTGAAGTGCTCCAATGCTCCGTCGCCTCGCTGCCCTGCGGTCTCCGAGGCACGGCGGGCGACACAAGTGGGACTTCGATGGCGACGAAGCGGAATGCCGCGACTCGGCACGGTAAGCAGCCGTGGCCGTAGCCTCTGGGGCCTCGGGCTGGGCTTGAATGGAGGCAGAGGCAAAGGTTCGTCGATGGAGGTTGACGTCGGATCTTTGCGAGGGATTCAGCTTCTGGTAGGTCGGCTCTGGCCTCCTTGGGTGGAGTGGGAGCCTGGCAAGTTTCAAACGTGGTCTTCGTTGTACCATGCTCCATAAGTCATACGCCGTGATGCACATGACAGAAATGCCACATCGATCCGAAGAGGTACATACAGTAGTCATGAAACTATCAAAAAACCAATCAGCAGGAAGCGAGGGACCTCTCAGTGTAGTGCAATCATGCAGTTCCAGCCGTGCGGCCTGGCGGTTGATTCCGTGCCAGCATGCTTTCACAAGCCAACGTCTCACAGACCAGGCGATGGACCCAAGCTGTCGCTCGACTGCACATAGCAGCCAGAGAGTCCCACGGGCTCGGGCGCTTGAAGGCTTCGGGTGCTGCGAGTTTGGGCTGGCAGAACACCCAACATGCTCGCTCACTGGACCTGAGTAAGCCAAGGGCTGATCTGTTTCAGCCGTTTTTGATGGGTGTCTCAGCTAGAGACGTGCACGACAGCCCAGCTTTCCAGTTTCCGGAAGCCCCGAAGGCCCAGACACAGCTCGGCTCAGGCTCGTGAGTGCGGAGACGGCGTCCACGGGAATCCTGCGATGGCTCCTGGGCTCGCAGGAGGAATCCGCGGGGGCTATAGCGAGTTTGAAAAGCCGTCGAAGTTGGGACCGTCGTGTTGTGGGCCGCCGTGCATGCCGCTGTGCACGCCGCTGCAGTGTCTTATTCCGTAGCGCCAGCGCCCCGGCGGCCTTGAGCTCGAGGTGCATCAAGTGCCAGGGAGGCCGCGACGACTTGATCATCGGCATCATCCCTGCGGAGAAAGCGGAAGAGGCGCCTCGGATGAGGGGGAAAGCTCCGCCCTCCCTCCTCCGCCACGCAGGGTTCCAGCAGGCGCCCTGGAGCCTTCCCTGTGCGCCGTCCCTCGGCCCAGGACATGTTCCTGGCCATCAACGGCTGCTACGGCATCACGTCCCTAGGGACGGATGGTAATCATCCCGTCGCTTGCAAGCAAAGAGGGCTGCCCGTGTCGGGTTGATGCAGAAACCCGAAGCCGGAACTGACAGTCCAGTAAGTTTCCCCCGCAGAAGCGTTTTGGAGGCATCCCCCCGAGGCGCCCCCGTGGCCCCAAAAGTGAAGATGCTGCGCGAACCGACAGCGGACGCAGCCAAGGCTTTTGACATCTACAAGAAGTCCGCTCCTAAGAGTGCACATGGACCGTCACGCGGGGTCGCACGGGTAAGGATGTCTGAAGAGGATGCTGTGCCGGGGGGGAATGGGCTCTCCGGACCCTTCCGTGCGCTCACAGTCGATCGTTTCCCTCGCCGTTGTTTGTGCCAGGTACATCGAGGTGATCGCAGACCTGGACGCTCGAGTGGCTAAGGCCAGATTTCCCGGTGGGCAGCGCAAGCCTTTGAACCGAGGGGTCCGAGGAGTGCGAACTTGAAGCAATTGCACCTGCAGCAGTGGCTTCGTTGCCGGGCGAGTTGTTTCGCTGACAGTGAGTTCGGAGATTTTGCGGGAGCAACCTTTCCCGCTCCCTGGCCGGCCCTGGCCGTTCTTCGGGAGTTCCGGTGAGCTTCGAGTGCAGCGTCGCTGCCTCCTTTGGAAAACCACGGAATGGCCTAGCTGTCGGTGAGGATTACTAGGCTGTTGCTAGGAATCTGGGATCGCTCTTTGCTCTGCCAGTTTGTGTGAGGTTTCTAGGCCCAGAATGGCCCAGAGTCATCATGATTGGATCCCACGTGGCCTCGACTGACTAATCCTCGCGGTCGTTCGCATGCTTTGAGATGACACTCAGCTTTGCCTAGCTCAGCCTGTAGGTCATGGTCGGAGAGACCCGGGAGCAGATGCTCGAGGTGCGGCTTGGGGGGTTTCTGTTCAAGTTTGTTTGGTGTCTTGCCGAATCCTCTTCCGTCTCTAAAACGCAGCTCAGGCGACTTCCTTCGACATCCCCTTCCAGGGCGATGCGAAACTGGTTGCGTGCCACCAATTCATGAGACCGTGAGTGAGATGCTTGTAGCTATTCGTTCTGGGCATTTGGGTTTCCAGCCGCTGTACACTTTTGGCTAGGGATTGGTGGGAATGCAATGCGGGTGCTGCCCCGTCGCAGAAGCCTACAGAAAGCTGGCCGTTTGCAGTCTGCCACCTGTTCTCAAGCTCTTCTGCACTTGCTTGTTCCATATGGAGATCAGCTGAGCACCTTCGCGTTCAAGAAGCATGTGCTGTCACCTGCTGTAGCTCGCGGTGAGAGATCCACGTGTCAAGGCGATCACCGGCTGGAAGTTCGTGGGCAGCTCCACCAAGGTGTGCTCGGGGTCTTGCGGGTGTGTTCCCGCTGTGCTTTGCCTCGCCTTCGCTCGGAGGGAGCTTTTGATAGCTTTGCATTCTAAGAAAACCTGCCTGGTAACTCAGGATGCTTACTCACATGCCGCCATGGATAACGAGAAGTGGGCAGTTCTTGTGGGATGGAGGGCCCCTTGCGAATCTCAGTGCTTGCACGCATCGCGACAGCCACGGGCCCCGCGGCACATCTGCTTCACACAGTCTGCAGCCT